AATTTTGTATCACATTGCCATCTAGTAAGATCAATTAAGTATAGCCTGATGTACAGAAAAGGGGAGGCAGAAAAGGTGTAGCCATATTTCTCTGAGCGTTATAATTGTATTTATTTTTCTATTTATGTCTACATTAAGAATATAATTGACACTTTGGATAGTGTAAATTGGAGCAGATATCTTCTTCGACTTTGCCGTTGCAAAAAAGCTTGGTCGTTGTGTTGTAGCATCTATATATACATGTACATCGTACTTGGATTCCTTTAAACGTCATACTGAATTTGGGCGCATCAAGATCACTCTATTAGCTTGAGCTCCCGATACTTCATAAAATAAGCGATGGCTATGGATTTCCGCAAAACAGTCTCAGTTCGTTTGATTTATGCAGTTATAGTATTTTTGACTTTCGGAAAACCAACCGCTGCCTTTCCATCTGATCGAAATGACACCGCTGGTAAGTTTTTTTCCTACATTAAAGTCGGATATACAGAATTTTTCTCAAATATTATGTTATCTGTTCATACAAGGATCACATATGAAAACATAATGGTATATCAACTTTATCAAAAAGGAAAGGTAATTTTAAACTAAAACGACAAATGGATAAAAGTTTGAGATTACCATAGTTACATCGAAATATCAATCTAGTTTGGTAACATGTTCAATGTATTGTTAGTTCTCAAGTTCCAATATCTTTACTATTCTTATCTTGAAGTAACACAGGGGCTTTATTTAAGCTAAATTTTTGTTATAGTTACTATCATTATTAATCATTGACATTATTACCAGTATGATGTATCCATCATCTTCTAATAATGTAGATGAAAGCATAGAAAGTATCATGATTACACGCGTTCCATGCGACCTAAACCTAATTACAGTGGGTACCCCAACGCATACTGGAAAGGCGGGTGAGCTACTGAGACAGATGCCTTTAAAGAATAGATTATCCTACATATTTGCTATATGAACAAGTACAATTAGTATGATGTTGGTGCTGTTGCTCTATTCACCAATTTCAGCAGTTATGTTCATTTTTTGGAACTCAACCAAACTAAAATAATATATCAACTTGTTTGACCGACAGATTGAGATGAATTGCATTACATCTTTCTTCAGACTGGAGATCCGGGGGGGGGGGGTGTTTCACAAAGATCCTAAGTTGAACTTATCTCTAAGTTGGACTTTACAATTATGGAAATCCGTTAGCATCTATGACAATATTTTGTATAAGTTATTTTATAAGGCATAAAATGTTGATTCAAATCATTCATATGTTCTTTTATCAAGGAGATTTGTTATTCTTGATGTGGAATTTATAAAAAGTCTAAAATGGCTCTCCATAATTTTTAAGTCCAACTAAGAGTTAAGTTCGACTTAGGATCTTTGTGAAACATCCCCCGGTGTACATTTTATCAATCATCTAGGTATTTGTAATATATGATATTATTGTGTCTCTTATCGTTATTTCTGTGTTTGAATCACCTATTTCCTTGTCTTTTTTGGGATCCAAGATCAATATGGGGCCGGGGAGCGGGGGTGAGGTTATCTCCCTTACCCTAAATTTGCCCGTGTTTAATTCTCAGTGTCGTTTGATTTCAGACCTCAATGTTTAACATTGAACTACTGTGTATACGAGACATGCTCCTCAAAAGATTGCTCCTCCTTAATTTCCAACACTAACCGAATTCCTAACTTCAATCCTAATTAACAGTAACGTAACCCTAATCCTAAATCAAAACCTAAGCTTAAACATATGGCTACCCAAAGCCTGTACATCTGGCAAATTAGAGCCCAGAGCAATGGTGATGAAATGTTAGATCACCAAGTCATTTCTGCTTTGATATTCTACTACAGAATGGGCAGTGCGACTTGTCGGTGATGAAGATAATGTGTTGCCAACTGAAGGAATAGTACAGGTCTTTCTGAACGGATCCTGGGGAAATATCTGCCATCATAACTGGGATGTCAGCGATGCCGAGGTAGTCTGCCGCAGTCTGGGCTTCAGCAGCTTATTCATGGATGGCAAATCCTTTCTACCAAAAACTACGAACGTTCTGTTTGATTTCCGATGTTCGGGGAACGAGTCTTCTCTCGAGGAATGTCCGCACAGTTTCGCTGACAAATTCAATGAATGCGGGATTCCTATCAGGGCGTCAGTCACATGTATGAATTCAACAAGTAAGCAGTGTTGTATCACTTTCATTTAATTACGTATCCTTTTTTTAACACAAAATGTTTATTCATTCAGAAGTGGGTTTATTTTGAAGCTGTGTCGAATAATAGAAAACAAATCTTCAAGCACGATTATAATTTCATTTAACCCTCTCAAGAATGCAAACATATTGCTCCTGTTGTCTCATTTTAGCAAGCACAAACGCAGTTAGTTCGCCGCCTATAGAACGTATATAGCAGACGGCAATCGGCGGATCAGACGACACTTGATATTGATTGTGTATGTGAGATTGCTTTGCTAAATGCCCGGTCCCACTGCACTTACGGATGCAAAGAGGATGTAAAACGTACACAAATCTTGCCATCCGTTGGAAAACGCTATGCATCCGTTGTGTACTCATTGAATACGTGTTTTATACGCTCTATCCATCGAGCATCCATCCACTGTGATTTCATCCGCGCAAAAAGTTTTGAGCTGCACAAAACTTTTAGAACGGATGAACTTCCGCCGTGTACGATGTAAATCCGCGACAAATACGAGCGTTCTATGTCCTCTGGGCATCCTCGTAACTCACATCCGCTGCAGCTGAAAACGGAAAGAGGGAGGAAAGATAAGATACATGGAACGTCTATACATCGTTAGTAGCACGGAAATATAAAGGATGTAAGCGTATGCATCAAAGCATTCAAAGCTGTCATCCACTTCCATCCGCTTTCATCCGCTAGGCTTCCGATGAACATCCGTTTAACATCCCCGCTACATAGTACCCAAGTCCGTTATTTTACGTTCTGTTTTCGCAAATTTTTGCAAATTTTCGCAAATTTTTTCCATTTCGGGAGCGGATGAAAACGGATGGAGCCATAAATATAAAATACAAGAACCTTTTCCATATCTTTAAACTATCATTGATATCTGATAATTAAACAGTTAGTAAACTAAATCTACCAAAATACATAATACAATGAAATACTTGACTGAAAGTAGGGGAGTTAATGTAGTGCACAATTGCACCCCTCTGTTAATAATCGAATAGTCCATGGTGTTCATGAATATTCAGGTTTTTGCTTACCTCGGCAATTTTGCTTGCCTATACTAAATGGAAAAAATAAAGACCAGTTATGGTCATGTGATTGCATTGTGAAAGAAACATTGTGGAATCGATCAGAAAAGGTTGATCATCTAGCATATAAGTATTGGTTTACATTGTAAGGTCCTGAAATCATCAAAATGATAAGAAATTTGGCCCAGTCTTCGTAAAGTTACAAGCACTGTACACAGAAAGATGTATATGGGACTACGCACACGCGCGCGACACGTGCGTTTATCTCTCACATAACAATAGATAAACTACTTTACCAAATATATCAATTAGTAGGCGGTTTCCCGGCAAATTTTGTATCATCATGTATTAGTTAAAACATATTCTCTCACATGATTGGTAATAGGAGCTTCCATTTCATTTGTTGAAATTGGGGCGTTTCCAATACTGGTATTTACCTTTAAACTATCATTGATATCTGATTATTAAACAGTTAGTAAAATAAACCTACCAAACTACATAATACAATGAAATACTTGACTGAAAGTAGGGGAGTTTGATGTGGTGCACAATTGCACCCCTCTGTTAATAATCGAATATTCCATGGTGTGTCATGAATATTCAAGTTTTTGCTTACCTCGGCAAAATGTTTGCCTATACTAAATGGACAATTTACGGTGGGGGTTGGCTGAAGTGGACATTATGAACCAAGCGGAACTGATCTATGCTAATTCATGCTTCTTATTTTTCGTGTGCTTGACCTAAAATCTTACAATCGCGTGGTAAATTGCGTCCAAAGTTCGACTTGTTACACATGCGTTATATATGCAATGGCGAGCTTGCGACCTATTTTTATCAAATTACGGTGTGTTATTTGTCAAAAGTCAATGGACATGAGGGTTCCAATGAAAGAGCTAGTGTCAACGTACGTCGGGGTTTGATGTGCTTTTCGTTTGAACAAAAACAAAATTAAAATGATTTTTGTGGTAAAATTCCATAGGCTAACATGTTTATAGTCTGCTGGACTCTGACGATAGGGGGCGTTGTCAAATGAGACTAAACGGAGCTATATGTTTCCCCATTAGTTTTCCATCAGTCGAAATAACCATTGCAAACAATAGCTTTACACGTATGTGCCTTCATTGATAGAATTGATAATTGTAGTATCAAGGAGCACCCCATTCAACCCCCGCCTCCTCCATGGCCATGAATCAATGGATTCGTAGTTGGTTTTTAGTTAGTCTGGCGATGTGACCGATGTATGAATCTGACTTGCTCAAGACCTTTTCAAATATACACTGTTGTCAATAAAGTCGGACTTATTTATTCATAACTTTTTCTCAATCTCTATAACTCTCTAGATTGATCAAGAATGTTTCACAGAACATATAAAACTTATACAGTGCGTATAAAAAAGTGTAACCAACTTTGGTAACGTCTAATTATAAAGTTATGACCTATGTGACTTTGAATCATATATCATAGTAAAGGGTAACGTATACCGTGTCTAATGATACCATATTTATAATCGTGCATTTAAACACGGATGATTGAGCAGCAGGCTTTTCAAAAAGTATTGTCAAAATCCTCTTGTACCAAGTTTGAGCTCAAGCAGTGAATGTGGATCAAAAGCCATTATGTTTGTTTAATCTCATTCCAGACACAATTGCTCACTTATTTACATTGACTATTAGGCAGTCGAAAAGCAATGGTGTTGATATCAACTAAAAAACAAAGAATATTACAAGCAAAAAATATGACATTATCTTCATTATGATGATAACCATGACTTTATTCGCATCTCTTGTTCGAGGTAACTGTTCTTATTGAGTGATACAAAATGGATAAAGTGAATTTGTTAAGGTATATTCGAGTTTTGTAAGGTTACGAAACCGATATTGCTCCTTAGCGATGTGAAATGGCGCACCGGACAAGTGATCAGAGAGATCTTATATATCATGAGGCAAGAAGTTAGTAGGCTGTTCAAAATAATTAAAAGGTTATCCTATGGAGTGAAACAAGGTTATGTGGAAGCATAGATACATTGCATCATATTAAACAATATAGTACCAAATCAAGAGGCCAAATGTATCTTATAAAAACATTTAAGTCCAAAGAAGCACATGCATATGATCTGCCCCTCATTCGTTCCATCAGCCCAAACTTTCCACAAGGCGATTTTGACAATACTTTTTAAAGAGACTGGTGCTTAGTCACCCGTGACAGAAATATTATAAATATGGTATCATTTGACAGTAACAAATTTATCCTTTATGATGAAAATAATTTCAAAGTCATGTTGTTTAGGAATGTTTAATTAGGAGCTACCAAAATTGGGTTTACATTTTTGATATGCACTGTACATCAAGAATAAACCATATTGTTAAAATCATTTTAATAGGACATAAAAAAGAGGTATTTTTTTAAAAAGGGAAATGTATGGCTGCAGTGTATATTGATGTAACCACTTTAATTATACCCCATAGTTCGTCTGTCTGGAGGCCATTATCCTTGGGAGGGTATCGTAGAGGTGTTCTACCATGGCTCTTGGAGATCAGTATGTGATGATCGCTGGGACATCAACAGTGGACATGTTGTCTGCAGATACCTTGGGATAGGTACAGCTCTGGATACCGACCAACATGCTACCGCTTCTAAGGGAGCCCCAGAATATTTCTTAAATGGCATCAGTTGTGATGGCAATGAATCCAGTATACTTGAATGTTCGTGGTCCAGTCTTCGTAATCGCCAGTGCAATTCGACCCGTATCGCCATGGTCCGATGTTCAACTGGGAGTAAGTTACTATCATTCATTCTTGTGCCATACATATAATTTACTTTAGATATTGAAGTTAACAATTACTGGCAAGTCCATGATGTTTGGCCTTTTGATATCACCCAAAGTTTGCATGACATTTTCCAACTCTGCACATGTTGATAGTCGTCCTTCAAAATTAGAAGTATCGTGTAATATCTATCGTATATATAATGCACTATTGTTGTTTGTTTGTTTTTATTTCCGAAATCCATATATACATACAAGTTTAAAAAAACATACGTATAAAACAGATTTCAAACGATAAGAAAGTAAGTAAATGTGTAAAGTATAGACAAACGGTTGGATAGCCCATTTCAGGACCATTTTCAAAATGGTCCAGTTTTTCAGTGGGGTCTAAAAGCAAAAATCATATTAATTTACATACAATATCGATTTTTATAAAAATCATAGTAATTTACAAATACACGACCCCCACCCCTTATCCCCCGCCACATTTAACATAAATACTCCTTCCTAATTTCCATTACAGTTCGTCTGGTCGGGGGAAGGAATAGCAGTGAAGGGAGAGTAGAGGTTTTCGCAAAGTCAACCTGGGGAATAACCTGTGGGAAAGACTGGACCCTTAACAATGCACACGTCATTTGCAAAAGTTTAGGATTCGCTGGTGCATTGAAGGCATTTGATTATGCTGAATTTGGATATGTTATAAATAACATACATTTATCGGAGGCACATTGCACGGGGAGAGAAAACAACATCTTCGACTGCCCAGATGCAAAATTCGAAACGATGGACTTCTGCTATGACGACGGTGCTGGCGTTCAGTGTTCAATAGAAGGTAAATATTATACAGATATTGAATGGTAGGCTGTGTAGTATATCATTCATTGGACGGTCATATTTACTATGCCATTTTTTTTTTTTTTTTAAATAAACTATTACTGAATTACTGTATCACATTATTACACGCCATCACCCGTAAAACTATACCATGTTTCGTATTTCTCTCCTCCATTCCACTTTAAGACGAAGTCATCTATCTGACTGATGGAACGAGTATCTTCGATGGCGTAGTCGTGTACTACTACAACGGCCAACAGAGATCTGTCTGTAGTGACTCTTGGGACAAGAACGACGCTGACGTTGTCTGCAGAAGTCTGGGACTGGAAAGCGCGCGAAGCATTACTACATCTCACATTTCAGATGGCAGCCATGTTGAGGTCACACTCGACCGTGTAGAGTGCACGGGTAATGAATCCAGATTTTTCGACTGTCCTGGGGTAGGAGTTGGATCTCATGAGAACTGCAATGTGTCAGAGGTGTCTGGAGTCACATGTTCTGGAGGTATTTACGTAATTTGTGAGCTCATCCGTCCACACTAAAAATAGTTGCATATGCCATTGAGGAACAACTGCAGAAGACCAACGTAACCCCAACTCTGACCCTGACGATAGGGCCTATATATCCCACAATCACTACCCTTACCCCAGCCACCCTAATCGTAACCCTAACCTTAAACCTAACCCTGACTTTGCATGACCACGACCCTAGCCTTACGTTAACCGAATACGCTTGGTATTCTGCGGTTAAACCGCAACTGATTTCATACTTACAGATTGATCGTGTTGATTTTTAAAATTTTATTTGAGAGCTTTGATTGTTATAGGAATAGTATCGTCACTGATTTTTCATCATCGCATTCTAGATCAGGGTATGGGATAAGTCTCTTTATGATATCTCATTCAGTTACAACACATTTTCTGATATTTACGCATTAGCAATTTGCATTATTGATCACGTATTTCATGTATTTAAAACATGGCAAATGTTGGAGAAAATCTTTGAGTAACAATCGTTTTTTATATCTTTGATTGCAGGAAACGTTTGTGTTTTAAGTTTGTGTCCTCTTGAAATGGATTCCCAAGGTATGAGAGTATTGAATTTTGTATAGTTTTGATAATGATGAAAATAACAATAATAATAATGGTAATAATACTACCAATACTACTACTACTACTACTACTACTTCCAATAATAATAATAATAATTATTATTATTTTATTACTAAGTGCTTCTATGGTATCTTAATCAAATATATATGGCACTTAGCAGTAAAGATAGTAAGATAGCGATATAATACGAACAACGGAATAGAAACCTAAATATGGTGTGTGACAGATATGGACGCTAGCAGAATACAAATGATTTATTATTTTTCTATTATTAATCAATTAGGCGTTGGTAGTAGGTTGATGGTTTACATTTCACTGGAGTGAAATCAGTTGTGATTCACATTATATATTGATCTGATAAAAGGGTAATGATGTCATATTTTCTTTTATTAAATAGGAACCGTATGTACCTACGTAAGGGGATCAGGTAAGAGGAAGCATACCAATTTTCAGTTGCTAAATGAAGTCTAGAGCAAGATGTCATTCTTTTTTTCTTTTTTAACACAGAGGTCTTCTTTCTTAATTCCATATTTACTGATAGAGACAGGTGTTGACTTTGCCAATCAGTATATCCAATGCCCAGATGTAATTGAATTGTTTCATTGTACAGTCATCAATTTCTTAAACTGATATTTCGAATTTAAAAAAGAAAAGAAAAAAAGAACAAAACAATTATAATAACAGTTTAAAACTCCTGCCTGCCGTAAAATAATACAACCATCTTCAAAGGTACTATGTCCCATTTCCAGGCCAAACAAATGAAAAGATTAAATTTCACCTGCATTTTAAAGATAATACTAATTTAGAACTTCCCTCTAAACGAAAGGGCTTGAAAATGTCTTCAAGTGGGTAAATAACGACTGTTAGTTGTGAAATCGACTGTAGGGATTGCAATCCCTTCAGTAAATAGTCTGATTTTCAGACCCTTGTACCGAATGATCATTGGTTTTGTGCTGCGCAAAGATTCAATCATAACAATAAACGGGTTATTGATGTAGAAAAATGCTCATGTACCCTTCACAGCTCATTTATGTATGCAAAATAAAAGTCAGTCAGTGACTCAATAGTGTCTGACAGTGAAGTATAGAAAGTAAACGGTTTTTGTTGCATAATTTGAATACCAGGACACCGCTAACGTTGACATTTCACAGATAGGACATATGTGACATATTTATAATTCCTGCAAAATTATACATAATTATTTTGATGTCGGCTGCAAATGGGACAAAGTACTTTTAACGATGCTTACTGAAAGTGATATTTCAATTCAATATTCCATCTTGTAGACTGAGACTCAATTGTCAAATAAATTACTGTCTTTTTTTTGCATGTAGATCAATGTGCTCATTATGAAAACAAGAACACTGGACATGGACCTTTTGGCTTACAATGTCTGTGAGTATAATCACCATATTATGGTCTGATAGAATCGTGAGATAGACTGCTCTTGTGTTGTAGAGATATCAAACTTGGGGTAATTTACCAATGTGTGGCTTTAGTATATACTATCTAGCACCTACCTGCGGTATTATTAACCGAGTGCATTCAAGAACAATTCAATATTTTGACACTTAAAATTTCTAATTGTCTAAGGCGAATAAATTATAGCTTAAAGATAATGTTCGGGGAATGCGATTGCACTGTGAAAGAATTTCCTAGAAGCAATTGGTTAAGGTTGACTCTGTAGTACAAAACAATTTTTGTGTCTTGGAATAAACAAATTGATAAGAAAATAGACTCAAATTTGTTGAAAACCATATGCGCTGCAAACAGAAGTGAGTATATGGTACTACACACATGTGGCGTAATGTTCGGTCCAAACTAGTACTCATCATTTTTGGGGGGAACATTTCTTCTACGATATTCTTCCAACTGACCTACAAAAACGAGAAAGTACACAATTTATTTTACACCTTGAAGAGAGATCAACCTTTTACAAGTTCTACTTAACTTAATCATTAAATAATTGTTCTCTTCTTCAAAAGATCATCAGTAGAGGAGGGATCATCTAATTTTTCATTTGGACAGATCCTGGAGTGTCAGAGGAAAATAATACGCGTGTAAGTTCAGTGGTCTTTAAATTTCTGCTTTAGTCCTGTTAATTTCCTAATCGTAATTAAGAACCAGTTGGTAGAATTCTAGTAGGTGATTATCCTTGGGGTTTGTTGTCCTATAAGGTTATCGTCCAGTGGGTGTCCGGGTAGGGTGAGAAGGGGGAAGTGTTGTATTTTGTTCCATATGGCAATTGATTGTGGATCACAAGGTATTGGTTTGATGGCACTGTCAGCCATCGCAGTAGCGTCCTTTGGTAAGATATTGATCCATATGTGACCTCTCTTGTGACTTAATCTACTTGGTTTGGAAAAAAATCTGTGAATTAAAATTAGTGATTAAAATTCGTGGGCATTTTCAGGGGGCGCGATTTGAGCGGGCCGCACATCGGATCCCTTCGAGGGCAATACAAAACATCCACTGGCATGACTGAGAAATGGTCCCGTCATTCTCCTGAAGACGATGAGAATACATCGATCGAAACGTCAGAAAAACTTATAATTGAAATCTCATAATGCTCTTAATGCAGTAGGTTGGTTGCTAAATACTAGAATAAAAAGTTGTATTTAAATACATTTTTTGCAATAATTTTTGATCGATATGAGATATTCATCATTATGTTATAAAATTCATTCGGCATTATTTATTTTTGAGAATCAATATACCAATGAACGCTACAATTAGTGAAAGTTTGATTTTAAATAATTTGCACTAGCTTTTTAGCCCTTATTTCTTGAGTATCCAGTAAATTCTTAAAACTTAGTTATTTTTTTATATGCAGTTTTCTCGGAAGGAGCAACATCGCTTTGTTGGCACAGTCGACTTTCTCTGAAATGAAGAACCTAGTATATTTGTGAGTTGTTATTCTGTTTATTTACATAAAATGATTTACAAAAGAAAAGGATATGGTAAAAATTCTCTTTTTTGTGTGGAGTCAATTCGGTATATACAAGAGATATCGACTGCTTTTTGCCATCACCCCTCAGCGCGCTGCCCACCCAGTTGCGCCTCGGGGTGATAGCATCGGATGCAACTTCCCCTTGTGCGTATAAAAACAGCCAGTCCTTTCGTAGCAGTCGATATCTCTATAATAGGTCGTAGTTCGTAGAAGTAGTATAAGTATTATTAATTTTATTATAACAATATTATTATTAATGAAACTACTACCGCTACTACTGCTACTACTACTACTACTAATACTAGTAATGTTAATAATAATATTTGTCATTGTTATTTAGTTTTGTTACTATTATTAATGTTATTGTTATTATCATTATTATTACAAACCAATTCAACAAAGCCAAAAGTATATGATCTTAAGAAGATATGAAATTGGCCTAAACTATGGGCTGAGGTTATTTTATTTTTATTCCGGCGCATTCCATTCGCTATTCTAAATGTTTTAAATTGGATCATTTATCTTAGATTGCTTGATTCCAACATGATTGCAAGTCTTCCTGATGGAATCTTTGAAGGACTTGAGCATCTTGCATTTATGTAAGTTTAAAAAACTCTGTTCTTTTATTTCTTTTTATCGTCAGTGCTCATCTATCGCAACCAATGGGGAAATTATTTCGAAGATAAAATAAAATTTGAGATAGCAAAAAGAGACAGCCGTTTTTGTTTCGACTGATAAATAACAAAATCCATCTGATATTAAGAAGACAAAAATACTTGTTAACGTTGGAGAATGGTTGCGGAGATGTAGCTCTTTACCTTTTTAAGGATAGAATCTAATGACTTATCACATTAGACACAAGAAAAAGCGTAAAGTATACCTTGTCGTGGATGTAAAGAAAAAAAAGAAGATTTTTGTACAACTTTTATCAACTTCAATGAGTAAATTAGTTTGTATGATCTTTAGACGAAATTATGATTATAACATTCTGAATGAATGTTATTTTAGTCAGCGTGTTTTATGTCAGTGCTGGAAATGTGTTGGAAAGTATTTATGTTAATGAAAATGTACGATTCATATCATTATGTAAATCACAAAGACATTAATTAGATTCAAATTCAATTTACAGCATTAATGTGTTCAACAAATAACTTCGAATATACCAACCCTGACCCTTCCTCTAATCTTTCACTCAGCGACTTGTCATACAATCAAATCACATCGATCTCTACCAAGCTGTTTTCCTACTTGCCAAAACTTCTTACGTTGTAAGTATATACATATATAAAAGCATGGAGGTGAGATTCTTAAAATGACGCAAATTATGGCAGTTTCATGCATATTTTTTTCTGAGATTTAAGCAAATATTATCTAGACCTCGCGGTACAGAAACAAGAATTTTAAAGATACTTCTGTTTTGTAAATTGTCGAATTTCAGCCAATTGTATTGGATTTCTTTTGGGAGAGAGGGGGGGGGGGACATTTTGCAATATGCACACCTGGCCAAATTCGTAATTAATGATGGAATGTTAAATGTCAATATGTCATTCACTTTCGGGAGAGGGGAGGGCGAACTCTCTATTCGACTGCGCTAATAGTATGCCCTATGTTCTCAATGTGTAATTCATTGTAAATTATATATTTCTTTTTTCGTAGATCACTTGGAAATGCAATGTGTGCGTTGCTTTGAATGATAATAATTATATTGATAATATTAAGTGCACTGTTATCTAAAGCTAGTTCTATTTCCGAGTTTATATGCATGGGAGCGTCTATTTTGTGCGTGAGTGTGGAGGATGGAGATGTAAAGTGAGCTCGTGTAAGTGTTTAATAAAACTCTAATCCATCATCACCTGTTCTTATCTTTCCCTTATATTTATTCCACAATTCCTCTTAATGTCCCATAAGCGGGTTCTTTTGACTAAAGAATATATATATATATCAACAGCCTTTTCAATAAGGCTGCCACATAATGTTTCCGAAAGCATAACTTTCAGATTATTGTTTAATTTTGTAGGAGCCTGGAGTACAACAACATAGTAGACATTTATAACGGAGCATTTCATGGACTGCCATCACTGGAGAACCAGTGAGTATAATCAGAATTACAATACATTGACTCATTCACATTTTAATTTGAATCAGTAATAGACATGGGAATTTATTGACCACTCTGTTTAAAACATGAATTTGCCTTATACTTATAAGGAAATTATTTCTTTCATAACATAGTAACACATTACAGCAAAATATACTGAAAGTAAACATCATGACAGGAAACAAATATCAGGGTAAAAATGAAATTGAGTTTTATAATTAACAACAATTAATCCACATGATTAAGTACACAAAGTAATAGGATTTCAAATTAAAGTAAAATTTTCGGGTTTGGATAATATTTTTTCTATCAATAATTTATAGAAAATTAAACAATACAATTAAATATGTCACGTCCAATAGAGAGAAATCTAAAGAAATATTTATCGAAATTTCTGATTTATAGTATCAAATTATACAATCTTTCTCTTTTGGTATTTATATTTAAATAAAGAACCAATCATGGGACCCATAACGTTAAGAACTATTTATTCAAATTATGTGTGTCTAATTCACATGAATATTCATATTTGAAACGATTATATAAAAATAAAATATCCGTTATCGCTTATTAATTATAAATTTAAGATGATGCTTGATAATCTGTTCTTTGTATTTTTCTTTATACCAGTTATCTGAACGACAACAATATCACCACGATAACAGAAGATGTATTCTCTGGCACTGTGGATGTCTTGTTAGTTTGTATATCATTATATTTCTTAATTCTCGAATTATACCCTTACTGTTACATAGTAAATAATTGAATACCAGTTTAGAAAGAAATATACCATCTAGACCTTATTAACTACATAATCCCGATGGTGTGTATCTGTTCACATATACATGTATATTAATTTTCAGAAATTATCATACACTGCTCAAGGAGCAATATCTGCAAATAAAATGAAGCCAAAACATATTCTCACACCAATCTTTATATCTTTGCAATTAATCGTGTATTTCACAAAGGTTGTCAATCTATAACTACTCTTGCAAATGATGCATATTGCTTATTTTGGACAAATTTTGAATCGTACTTTAATACATGTCTCCCAAAGATTAATAATAGAGGTAGATATAAACAACCTATTAACCCATGGGTTATGAAGGGAATTCTCACCTCCATATGAAAAAGAAATACATTGTATAAACTTAGTTTAAACTACCCTACCCCTTCACATATAAGTAACTATAGGAAATATACATATAAGCTTACCAGTACCATCAGGCTATACAAAAAATTGTATTTTTCAAACGAACTCAAAAATGCTGAAGTTAATATATCATCTACATGGAATGTCATAAATGAACTGCTTAATACGAAGAGCCGTACACTGCATCAGCAGGCCTTTAATATAAATGATCACAAAGTAGATGAGCCAGATGAAATAGCAATATTTTTATATGAGTATTTTGTAAATATAGGCCCTGACCAGGCTTCTAAAATCGATAGACATATTCAAGACTTTAGGGCATTTGTCCCAGAGTCATCTTACCCTTCGCTATTTTTATATCCGACAGATTTTTACTGAAATATTAAATGTTGTTCACTTATTAAAATCAAGCCATTCTTATAGCCATGATGAAGTTAGCACCCATTTGCTTAAAACAATTATAGGCAGTATCTTATCACCTCTGGTTCACATTTTCAATCATTCGCTGTCTTCTGGTGTTGTTCCAGCCCCTTTTAAGACAGTTAAAGTCATACCAATCTATAAGAAAGATGACCCCTCTTCTGTGTCGAATTATCGACCAATGTCCATAGTACCAAGCTTTTTAAAACTTTGAAAGAATTGTTTAAAACAGATTATATACATTTTTAACTAAAAATGACCCCCATAATTTTTTTTTTGTGTGTGTGTTTTGTAGCCCCAAAAACCTTAAATTTTGTTCACATTATGATTTAAATTCGCTGATTGCAACCATGAACATTGAAATACCTAAATTATCACAATGGTTCAAAAGCAACATATTATCATTGAACCTAACGAAGAACAATTTTATTTACTTTAGAAACTCGAGAAATCATAATATTCGTAATTATGAGCTGCTTGTTGATAATGTTCCAATAGAAAAAAGTCATCAACCAAATTCTTAGGTGTATATATAAATGAAAAATGTTACTGGAATGATCATGTGAACTATATCTCTACCCCTATTTCTCGCAATATGTGCTTAGTATGCTTTATAATACACTGGTTTTACCTTATATGGGCTACTCATAAGTGCAATACTAATCGTATATTAATGTTAAAGAAAAAAGCAATTCGAGTTTGTACCGATGCAGGTTATCTTGACCACATTGACCCCTTATTTATTACATTACAAACTCTAAAAGTAAGTGATATCCACTACATGCAACAATCTATGTTCATGTTTCGGCTTAAATCCGGCATTCTTCCCCCATCACTAGTAATATTATTCAAACATAATGCTAATTGTCATTCCTACCCAACCAGGCACTCCAATGACTATCACATATTTAACACCAAAACCGTCTTAGCACAAAAATCATTTAAACATTATGGCCCTGATATCTGGAATGCACTACCCCTGAAATAAAAAAAGATGAACACAATGGTATCCTTTAAAATAGCGGTGAAAACGTATCTTATTGCTCATTATCTTTAAATCCACCATCAAAATTTGCTTTCCTTCAATCTTCATAATTTCTCCCGGTACGCCCGTCGTTACGAAACTCGATAATTTTCAGTACTGTTACTTTCGTTTGCTTCCATTCATTGAAACGTTGATTATAACCTTCCATGACCTGGTATGAATAGACGAATGAATACAGAGTGGCCTACTTGAGATACTGACTGAACATTGTTTTGTTTACAAACATTTCAATGCTCCGACCCGCAAGCCCAGGCTAACAGTATTTACATACCAGCTCGCTGATCTCGCATTCTTATATTATTCTTATTGTCCAGAAACCTCGCAAGTCTTCTAATTCTATAATATATCCCAAGTTGGCCACCCAATATTCAAATGTGCATCTTCTTTTTTATCCTCATAAATCAAATTGAAATCCATCTACTACTTAAATATGTTAATCTTGATGTACACCCCCTCCTCCTTTTATTTTCTATTCTTTTCTTTTTTCTCTCCTTTTTTTATTCTTCCCCCTTTTACCAATATTTTTTTCTCCATATTTGTATTATTATGTATCCATTGAGGGTAGTCAAGCTATCAAGCTCTCCTTACTTTGTCAACCCTCCTGTTTGATGTTACAGCCAACCTTACTATGTTTTATATATACTCTTTTGTCATGTATAAAATGTTCAATGATTTGTTTATTATATAAATGTACAACTGCAAAAGAAAAAGAAAATCAAACAGAAAAAAAAAAATCAAATCAAATCGAATGCCTTTTGTTTTTCTTGAAAAAAGAAATGGAGATTATGATGGCAGAAAATAACATAAAAGCTTACGCTATATATATTCTGCTGAATATTTCCACATTATATAATTTGTTTTGTAGACACATAGAGAATAATCGGATACGTATGATCGAGAACAGGTCCCTCTACGGTCTGGACATCCATCGATTGTAAGTATTCGAGAAAAGAGTTCTTTTGTCTGTATTGTATCAAAATAACAATCTTAATATGGAATATCAACTAGAAAATTGTTCCAATGATGATCGTAAACCGATAAACTCACTATGTGTGTGATAAAATATGCGTATAGTGAAATAAGAAGTACAAACGAAAGTTGTATATCGACCTAATGATGTGTCCGTCATCGGAAAATATTGATGCTTTTCAATCAGAAGGTTTCATTTCCCATACTTTTTTGTTAACACAGGCGGCTTCAGAAGAACAACCTAGTTACATTGAATGGAATATTTGATGGACTACCTGAACTTCAAAGATTGTAAGAATTTACATTAATCAATTGATTACTTTGATGAATGGTAAAATTTTCTATAACGCCACCTATAAGTAGTCGCGATAATCGAAAGAAAAAAAAAACGCTTCGGCATTAGCTGTTTATCAAATAACGAAATCAATACTGAACTTACAACCGTTGTTGTAATAGATTGCAGTTCAAATTATTTGCCAGAAAAAAAAAAACTGAACACTAAAACTCGTAACGATTGAAGAAAATGGTGAATAATATTTAAAGCCATTGGAGGCTATTGTTACTCATTCTACCAGCTACTTCTACTACTACTACTACTACTACTACTACTACTGCTACTGCTACTACTATTTCTACTACTACTATTACTACATACTACTACTTTTATTAAACTACTACCACTACTAATACTAATACTACTTCTACTACAGACGGTCCTAATACTTTAGCCTTGGCAGTAAATATAAATTGCGTTAAGGCCTTTTTGTAACTGTCTTGGTTTGTTGGTGAATGATCCATAAAATGATCCACCCTGCCAAGCCACTGACTGTATAATAACAGACTTGTCTTATTCATATTTTAGGAACCTCTCAAGCAATGACATCAAACACATAGCTAAAGGTGACTTCCAGGACCAAATTAACCTCTTAATTCTGTAAGTTGTGAATTTTTAACGTTTACATTTCAGCACCTTTTTCCCATTTTATTCCTTTCTGTTTGACAACTTAATGACCTTTCAATAATGGGATATCAGTGGGTTTATTTGAGACGAAAACGTATAGCGTTCATGTACAAGTAAAGTTATCTTAATTAATGATTGGCAAATAATAATAAAAATTGATTATTGAATTGGGAGACTATTGTTTGGTATAAGTAAGATTGAAATAACTTTCCTTTAACAACCCGATTACTTTATTCCTGGCGCCAGACAAACGAGATAAATATCTACATTTCATCTAAAAATACCTCGTAGATCTTTTGGTGTATCGAATTTGAGTTGAAACAAGAATATTGTGGTATAACAATATTTTGTTATCTTTGATATTACAAAAAAATCAATATAAAATCATTGGAGATATAGAAACAACTCTTATTATCATATTTCAATGACTATTTATTTCATCCGCAGTGAATTGAGCAACAATCCAATCACTCGCATCGATCCTGGCGTATTCGTTAACACGATAAGCCTGGAGTATATGTAAGTACAATGGTAATGACAGCTTTCCGTTCTATGAGGTAAGGTGATGTTCTATTAAACGTTATAGAAATTATGGTAAAGGTATAGGAGGTTTGAGTGTACGCAGTAGATACTATATGATTTGCTTTATAAGTGTATTTAACCCCGTATGATATGTATATGTAAGTACATACATTATATTAGAGTATGTATTTACGTGCATCATTGAAACTCCTCCCCGAAATACAGTATGAGTTTGATGATATTTTACTCTTTCGATGGGGTCAAACGTTCATATATATATATATATATATATAAACAGCATGAATTTTTTGAAGGCATAAAAAATGAATTTTAATGGCAAAATAGATTTAACTTGTTAACAATCTAAAACTTGACACTGTGTATTCATTTGCCTAATTATAAACAGTTTACTTCTGGATTTACAACTACAATCGATTCGAGGAAACGTACTGGCAGGTCTAACATCTTTGAAAGCCATGTAAGTATATTTGTATTCATAGATGTACCCCATCGCCAATTCGCTAATGTCTTGAGTAGCCCAATTTGGTAAAAATCAAACATTTAATAATGCCTAAATTTGCTTTTAAGGTCTTTTAGAATCAATAGCTGATTTTATTCAAATAATTAACAAAGGAATTAGATATTTGGCACATTTAAAAGGAAATAGCTTCTATTAACACAAGCACCTTCGCTTCTCTTTCAGATCCACTTCTGATAACAGGCTATGTTGTCTTCTTGATCAAAGAGAAAACGTCACTTGCGCTAGGACGTCTCCTACAAGTCCTCTGGAAACCTGTGACAGGCTCTATCCGAGCGTTGTCTTAAGAATCGCCGGCTGGGTCATAGGACTTACATCTCTCATCGGCAACCTGACTGTCCTGGTACTACGCCTTCGCCAGGAGCAGCAGCTCACCGTCCAAACTCTCTTAATCATGAACTTAGCCGTTGCAGACTGTCTCATGGGTATCTATATGATAATTATCACATCAGCAGATATCTATTTCGGCAGTATCTATTTCTTGAGTGCACCAATTTGGCGTGAATCGCATTTGTGCAAATTTTCGAGTTTCCTCGCTTTTCTATCCAGCGAATGTTCTGTTTTCACATTGGCATTAATGACGGTCGATCGATTCGTCTGTATTATATTTCCTTTCGGTGGGTACCGTTTGACTGTGAAATCAGCCAGAGTTATCATGATGTTATTATGGTTAGTCATGTGCATACTCAGTGTCATACCCAATTTGGTTCCATCGAATTTGCCCGGGTTTTACGGACTATCTGATGTTTGTGTTGGTTTGCCACTACATGCCGAGTCTGAAGAGATAGGAAAGCTTGAGTTTAAAGAGAATATATTCAATAGGGAATTCCATTTTGAGTATGTAGTTGTCGAGAGCACTTTTCGTCCATCCTGGCTCTACGCCATTGCAACATTTATCGGTGTTAACATGATTCTATTCATAATTATCTTAATATGCTATATAATGATGTTTATAGAGGTGAAGAGATCAACACAATCTGTGGCGAATACTGCTTTACGTAATCGAGAAATCAAAGTTGCTAGAAAAATGGCATTTATCGTCGGAACCGATTTCGCCTGCTGGATGCCCATCATAGTTATGGGTATTCTCACCCAATCCGGTCTGGTTGACTTACCGACATCCCTCTATGCTTGGAGTGTGATATTCATCATCCCAATCAACTCCTCAATTAACCCTATACTGTACACGTTCGTAAATTATATCGAAAATAAGAAAAAGCCTGAACAAGCTAGAAGAAAAACGAAAGTTGATGGTATGACAGCAAAAAGAGCGAGTGTGAATGTTATCTCTTTGACCGAACTCAACAATGGTGGTCATCTTTAAAATGAAGTCAGGATATTGACCATGGTAATGACGAATGTTGAAAGTACTGAAAGTGAATTAAGTAAAAAGAAATGGATTCTATGTAAATATATTTGACCATATTTCCATTGGTCATTATTGTAATTGACATTAAAGAATGTTTCAAAAAGTCAATACATTCAAAATTTGATTCAGCTAAGGATTAAACAAAATTACAAAAAAGAGATATCTAATACCTGTCCAAACTACCAATTTTGGGTCATATTGTTTAACACATTGTTTTTTTGTTATTGTGTTTGTAGGTTCTTGTATCAATGCACTAAATTATTGTTAGCATCAGCAAGTGTTGAATGAGGATAGAAGCGTATTTCCTACTACCGTGCTGTTATATTTCTTGATACTCATTCTAATTCATTCTACTAAATCTAAATATAGTTAGACTTCTAATCAAATGTTGTCAACGGGACAATTACAATGGAACACTATGATATGCATTTTATGACACGCTTTTGAAATTAATTCTTCAATGTCGAAAGTATAATATATCTTTTTGTAACACAGAATTTTTTGTTTTAATTGTGCGTACTTTCAATTGCTATACTACTTATTTAAAAACAAATCTTTGTGGCACTGTGAAAAATAATGTACATTATGTAATGTTATTCCAAAGTCAGTTTAAGTCATTTTACATTGCGTTCTTTCTGTTTCTATAATGATAATTATTTAATTATCATTTGGTGTAAATTGGAATAATCAAGTAAATATATCTAATCTTTAAAAATCAGTTAATCTTTTTCATTTACAAAATTAGCACTGCGATCACTACTGAACTTTTCTAAATCATAGCAGTTAACAGTATTTTAAAGGTCGAAATAAATGACTTTTTCATCCTCAATTAGTTCCATTTATTTTTATGGACCAATCGTACATGGCTCAAAAAAATTAAAATGTATTTGAAACTGCGGTGAATGATAATCACTATAATCAACCAAAAATTGCAAATTGTGCACAACATAGTGATTATAAATTTTACACCACATTGCAAATTTACAGACTGCAATGATCACGTAATTAAATCGTTTTTATTCCTGAATTCACTGTTGACTGCATTAGAAATGGTCCACAATTTTCGGTGATATTTTGCTCTTTCTGTTTATGTACAGTGTATAATTCCAAGAATCCAGGATCAAAAGATATTTTTGTCAAGTCACTAAAAGGTGATACTAAATTGCAGTTGAAGACACGATCATATTTTTAACGTTACTCATACATTACATCAAATGTAAATCAAAATATCGATCTTCTATTCACAAGTTTGAGTGATAATAAAATTAAAAAGTACAACTTGTATCAAACTGATCTTTGCACACGTAACATTGTTGGATGTAACCAAGATAAATGTTTGGGAACTGAAACAAAGTTTTAACTTTTATTCTTTTTTTCTTTACAAATCTAACCTAATTTGTGTCAATCAGTTATGTACAAAATCACAATAGTATTGTGCGTTACACGTTATACAAATCGTATCAATATGATTTTCAGAGTTAACAAATACTTCAAACCTATATATAAAACTGTATTCCGTCAGTACATATAAACTATCATAACCATGTTATCCTTTCAAAAAACAATACACTTGGCGACAATTGTCATTAAATATATTTTCTCGACTTGACTATTGGCTATTAACAGATTCAATGTGGTGTTGTGTGCAGACGACTGAAATTAAGCCTGCTCCAAAATGCGATCATTGTGCAATTACTCTAAAATTGGCAACTAATAGTCCCCGAAAGGGGTGTGGTTTATGGAAAATGAATAATTCATTGTTAAAAGATGATGACTATACAGTAAACATAAAACATTTGATTAGAAAATTTAAAATGGAAAACGCTTATATGAACCCGCAAATGAAATGGGACATGTGCAAAATAAAGATTAAAGAATACACAATCAGGTATTCGAAACAAAAGCATAAAGAAAAGAACGAAGCTTTTAACAAATTACAAACTGAATTTATGTCAATGAGCTGTAAGACTGATGAAAATCCGTCAAAAGAAAATAAGGAAGAACTAGAACGAACAAAAATTAAATTAGACCAATGGTTAACATATAAATGTAAAGGAGCTTTTGTCAGGTCCAGACAAAAGTGGATAGAACATGGTGAAAAATCAACGAAATATTTTTTTCAATGCGAAAAAAGAAACGGAAAAAGAAAAGAAATAAATTGTATTAAAAAGAATGGAAGGGTTGTTACAAACCAGGAAACTATTCTTAGTGAAATTGTTGAATATTATAAATGTTTGTACTCTAAGACAATCAATGGAGTTGAATCGTCTGATATTGATAATTATTTAGCTTCAACTATGCTTCCTGCATTAACGGAAGAAGAAGCAATGTCGTGTGAAGGAATACTTACCGAGGAAGAATGTCGAAATGCTATATTTTCTATGAAAAACAACAAGTCACCAGGTAGTGACGGTTTATCTGCTGAATTTTTAAAATGTTTTTGGGAGGATGTTAAATCCCTTGTAATAAATAGTATAAATGAAGGTTTTAATCAAAAACAGTTGTCCGAAACTCAAAAGTTAGCTATACTAACTTTGCTGTACAAGAAAGGGGATAAACAATGCCTAGATAATTGGAGACCTATATCATTGCTTAACACAGATTATAAGATTGTAGCAAAGGTGTTATGTAAAAGATTAAAAAATGTCATAGATAAATTGATTTCTTTTGATCAATCAGGTTATTTAAAACAGCGTTCCGCTATGCAAAATCTACGTTTAGTTAAAGATATAATTGAATACTGTGAATCAAATAATTACTCAGGTATCCTTCTTTTTCTTGATTTTAGAAAAGCTTTTGATACGGTTACTCATGAGTTCTTATTTCAACTATTATATAAGTTAAAGTTCAAAGAATCCTTTATTACATGGATCAAAGTCATTTATGCAAATGCTGTAGGGAGTGTCATAAATAATGGTTGGGTCTCGCAAAAATTTGAAATAAAAAGGGGCATTAGGCAGGGCTGTCCGCTTTCTGCTCTATTATTTATTCTAGTTGTTGAAATTATGGCATTAAAAATAAAGCAAAATAATAATATAGATGGTATCACAGTCGTAACTACTGACACTGGTATTTCAAAAGAATTTAAGATATCCCAACTGGCAGATGACACTGTTCTCTTTTTAAACAACATTCAATCTGCCAACATATCTCTCGAAGAAGTAAAACATTTCGGACACTTCGCTGGGCCGAGCTTAAATGTGATGAAAACAAATGCTGTTACTATACAACAGCAACAAGCATTTATCGAAGGTATTAAATGGAACGATGAACCTGTCAAGTATTTGGGAATGTATCTAACAAGGGATAAAAAGGAGTCTGATCGATTGAACTGGTTTGTGAAACTAGAAAAAGTAAAATCAATCTTGACTTTTTGGAAAATGAGAAACTTAACTTACTATGGTAAAGTTGTAATTCTTAAATCACTTGTAATCTCACAATTTGTGTATGTTGCTTCGGTATTACCTATCCCTCAGAAACTAGTTGTTGATTTGAATAAACTGATGTATAATTTTCTATGGAATTCAAAAAGAGAAAAAGTCAAGAGAACAGTCTTAATTAATGATATTGAAAAGGGAGGATTGGGCATGGTCGACTTAAACTCTAAATTTCAATCGCTACATTTATCATGGTTTAACAATTTCTTTGAAAATAATTATGATATACCGTGGAAGTTTATGTTTAGATACTGGATTGAAAAAATATGTCCGTTGTTAGTAATTTTGAAAACAAATTGTTCCAGTAAAGACATGTTAAAGTTATGCTTAAAACAAAAAATACCTAATTTTTATGTTAACTGTCTCGTAACTTGGAGCGAACTTAAATATATTCAATTTCCACAAGTTATGAATGTTGAAAATCAAGTATTGTGGTACAATAGTAATATTACACATGAGAGCAAACCTCTCTTTTTTAAAGAATGGTTTAGAAAAGGCATTATAACAATGAATGACATTGTAGAAAATGGACGTTTTCGGCCAAGAGAACATATTTGTAGAGTGCTTGGCTCAAATTCTTTGCTAGTTGATTTTATGTATACGAAGCTTAAAAATGCGATCCCAAAAATGTGGATCGAAAGAATTCAAGATGTTAATTACGCACATGACGATAAAACAAATTCACAATTCGAAGGCGACTTATACGAAATAAGAACACTTGATTTTATAAGACTATCTTCAATGAAATCTAGCCATTTCTATAGCCTATTGTGTGACTTTAAGAAAAGAGAACCAGCTGTATTAACATTTTGGGAAGGTAAACTGAACCTTGTCATTGATTTTGATTGGAGAGATACATTAAAATTTAAGTTTAAGACATTGAAAAACAATAAAATAAAACAACTCAACTTTAAGACATTTCATAGGATTTTACCCTTTAGATACAATCTGTGCAAATGGAAAATTGTAAATGAAAACCTTTGCATTTTTTGTAAAACAGCAGAATCTTTCGTTCATGTTCTTTTAGAGTGCCCGAGCGTAAAGCTTTTCTGGAAACGTATTGTGGAATTGATTGAATTGAACTTTAAAGAAAAAATTATATTAAACGAAGAATTATTAATTGCTGGTTTTGATTTCAAACATGCAAATGGAACAGATATAAATACAATCGTTGCATATGCTCAATACGCAATCTATTTGATGTATATGTTAAATTATTTTCAAGGTAAACCATACAACAGCTTTTTCATATGGCATGTTTTTAAATACGAGTTACTCTTGGATAACATCTCGGATGTTGTTTCGGGGGCTCTCGGGACATAGTATTTTTTTTGGAGAGTTTTTGAGAGCTTTTGAAATAGCATCTGGGAACTAAGGAAAATCTTCGGGGATATTTTATATCACTGAAGATTTTCTCTTAATAGTTTAAGAAAATACTTAAAGTGAATGTAAAATTTTGTTATGATGTAATGATTTGTGTGTTGGTTATTTTTGTAAATGAATAAAGTACCTCTGACAAGAGGAAAAAAAAAAAAAAATCATAACCATGTGATATGTCAGAAGTGAGAGAGTGGGTGCGCGCGCGCGCGTGTGTGTGTGTGTGTGTGTGTAAGAGGAAGGGAAGGAAGTGGGAACGTCAGTTTAAAAAAGAAGAAGAGAGAAGGTGAGAAGGTGAGAAGGAGAGAAAGAGAGAATAGAGAGGAAGATAAAGAAATGTGACTCCCCTTTTTCACCCAAACACACCAATTCATCCACGCGGATTTTTTTTAAACGTTTGAAGGCTCTAAAATATAATCTTTTTTAAAAGCTCTTGTAAATATCATAACCTACAAGACCTATGAAAATGATGCTCTGCAAGCAATGGCTTAAATTTGACTGTTTGAGAAAATTAAATAACACGTAACTCCGACTTTTACTCGCGTGTGGCGAAAAACAAAAAAATACAGATGTGCAAACAGATAGAAGTGTGAAGTGGCACATCTTGAGCTGAAGGAGACAAGGATGTAAATATTGGTACGTGCAGAGACAGCATCGAGAGTTTTCTATAGGGAAATTTTCACCGAAGCATTGTGCTCGATATCACATGCTGAAAACCCCAAGTAAAAATTTGGTTCAGAAAGAAAAAAAAAACCTCTCAAATTATAAACAGTTTTTACTTTTATCATAAAAGTAGATTACTTCAAAAAGATAACCGAGTTTATTTGGGGAAATGGAGGCTGTTTTTTTTTTTTTTGGGGGGGGGGGAGGGCTTGGTTTATTTGGCCTTGGGAACGACTTGAGATAGTGTTATTAAATACCAGAAAC